CTTGCTAATCTTGCGAACTTTAGGAAGGTGCTTGCCTGCCCCTGTGCAGCGGCTCATCAGAGCACGCCAGAGATGATTAGTGATCCCCGAGTGCGAGCAGAAGGCGAGAACAAGCCGTCGGCGCCAGCGACGATTGCCGCATCGGGTGACTCAATCAAGCGGGAGTGGGCTCACTACCATATGTGGGCCGGTGTCTTCGGACACGAGCTCGGACTCAACCCAGACCGTGACTGGGAAGAGAGCGTGAAACAGCTCTATACAGGCGCAATCGCGCAAACCGCTTTGTCTACGTGTCTGGGAGATGTTGATCACGGCTATAAGGCCCTCCCTAAGGTGGCACGGATCAACGACGAGGGGTTGTCGCGTTTCCAGCCCGGCGATAGCCGAGGCCGTGAAAAAGCCTGCATCATTGTTTCCGACTCTACCCTCATTTTCAAGGCTGGGGCGAGGACATTCGTTGAAATGGCGGACGACTTTAAAGCTCTGACGGGGCCTGGTCATATCCTTCAGCAATACACGAATGTCCGGCAAAAGGCGATTTGGGGAGGCAACCTCCACTCGATCGTTGAGGCAGTTCACACGCTCTTGCCGCAGGTCATCAACGAATCGTTAAATCCCTTGCATCTCGAGGTCGATATCGTTGTTGTGTGGATGGGCAACGAACTGTGCGGTCGCAGAGGAGTTTTCGTCGACCCAGGGACGCCACACTGGCAGATTGGTCCTGAAGGCGTTGCCGCAGAAGGGATCTGGGCGGACATTGCCGCACGTGTGTGCGGTGAGATAGGCCGTCTAGCCGCCCTTCAGGGCAGGCCAACTGTGGGCTCAGTGCAAATCCTCTCGGATGCCGACCCACTGGACTATGGGCTGCCAGCGGAATACCGCACAGCTATCCGAAAATTCCTCGGATACGCAAGGAGCAGGGGGTTATATACCGCCTCTCTCAAAGAAAGCGTATGCCAGATCCCAAAGCACGACCACTACCACTTCCGCGAGGACTCAACACATCGCGCAGCCTTGGCCTCTGTGATCGGACAGCGGATTAAAGTGTGTCAAGCTGACCACTTATTCGCAAAGATGCCCGCAGAGACGCTGGACGAGCTGGCCCGCCGTTTTCCTTTTGATCCAGAAGGAACGCGGGTATATTCCATGCAGTATGTCTTCGACAAGGCGCTGTATCGGTCCCAGCTCTCCCGCCGCCTTTTAAGGCAGGCCGAGATTCGCGAAGCTGCGAACGAATGCCCTGATCCATGGGAATCCCCTTATGTTCCTCCACCTGATCTTCCGGTCACTGGAATGCGTGAGGTACCTCAGGATGTCCTGAATTGGGAATGGGCCACAGCTCGCGAACAGGCGCAAAAGCGCGCGAAAGAGCAGGCGGAAGCACGTGCCCGTGCTGAGCGAAAGGATCCAGCCCCACTTAGTGGTGGCCCATCTGGCAGTGCATCATCTCGCGACGTACCGGAGGTGTCCTTTGACGATGTCATCGAGGCCATCCCTTACCGCACGGAGTCTCACCGTACTCTGTCAGCGGCAAAAGAGGGCATGACCAAGAAGGACCGGGACCCTTCCAGCGGCCTTTTAAGGGCTCGCCCACACGACTACATTGGGGTAAAGTACCAAGACGACTTGGACCTGATGGAGATGTGTGGCTTCGTCGACGAGGATGTGTGCCCAGAGGATCCGGAGGGGAGCGAGATCGTTCAGATCCTCCCCGACTCGATCCCGAAGGACCACCTCCCTGAGTTAGGCCTCAAACCCTATGTTGAGCGCTACCTCACAGGTGCTGTCCGAGGATCGAACGTGAAGCTCAGCTCACGGCGCGGGAAATGGGTACGCATACAAGACCTCATTCAGCATATGTGGAAGAAGCACCGTGTGGATCTGGGAACACGAGGTATCTTGTCCATAGTCGCCTACGATAACAAATCGAGGTTTAACTTGGCAGGCCTCCCCACCGATCCACGTGCTGACTTCATCGAGACGGACATTTGGCCCTCGTGGATTTGTGCTTCGCATGGTCACAGCGAACGCATCAAAGACCAAGTGACCGATTCCTCGATTGCTCTGCATTGGTTCACGAACGATACGCGTGAGGAGCTTGGTCCTACAGCCGCCTATCAAGGCAGGCCATTCCTTGCTCTCGGGGAGTTTCCCCCGCGCCTCTATCACCGAACCACGCATGATGCAGCCTTCAATATTCTCTCTACTGGCTTCACGCCGGGGTTCAACCGGAGCGGCAAGTTTCACAACTACTTCGCGAAAGCCACTCTGAGCGAGCTTGAGAATAAAGCTGGCAGCCGAGCAAACCTTCCTTACGAAATTGTTCTCGACACTCAGGAGGTGAACCGCTATGCGTACCTGTTTGAGACAACTTCCGAAGGTATACTCACTCGCGACCCGGTGCCAGGGACTTGTGTGCTCTACATCAGAGACACGATCAAAGGCATCATTCTGTGGTCTCGCCAGTCCAGCGAGGAGGAAGACACTATCATTCCGGAAACTGCCCCGGAGCCCATTGTGGATCCAGGAGCAGCTGAGCCGGAGCAGTTCCCCGATGTTCCGGAGGAACCTTCAGCCCCACTTAGTGGTGGCCATGAAGAGGTCGAAGCAGCAGCGTCTGCAACAGCAGACGAACCCATGGTTGAAATCGAAGTTGAGGTTGAGGTTGCGCCACCAACATCATCACCAGCACCTCTTGCACTCAACGACGCTACAGCATCCGACTTCCTTCCGGAGGAAACCACAACATTGGACCAGGGGGGCGCTTCACTACCAGAGGCACCGACTGAGTCCAGAAAGCGTGTTCGTTTCCTTGAGCCGGAAGATCCCGTTGAAGTCGAGATCGAGATCGAGCCAGACGAAGGCGATGTGAAAAAGGAGGAAGAAGTCAAAGTCGAGCCGATGTTCGAGCAGGCACCGCCTCAGCCGGAATCGACTCCATTGGCGCTCCCTCCAGCCCCCGTTACGGGTGGCCGCCACAGAGCCTGTCCCCACTGTGGGACGCAGCATCTCGTGGGACAGATGATCTGTCTCCACTGTGGCGTGCACATCGTGAAGCCTTCCCAGCAGAACGCACGCAAGAAAGTGCGTACAGCTCGTTGGTTCGCTGAAGAGGCCGCCGCTGCCACTGCGGGCAAGCCACGTTCCCAGCTGACGCCGGAGGAGGTCATCCATGAAATGACCAGAGACTCCTCAACACAGCGCGGAACGACGTCGCTTGACGCAGAGGCGTTAGACAAGGCCCGGCAGCAGTTGAAGATGGCTACAAAAGGAGGCTACACCAGCATCGTACACCGCTTCGACAACGATGTGGACTACACTATGAGTTCCATCGGCAACGGGTACGATCGAGAGTTTCTGGCCATCGAAGACGTGCTTACGCATGCTGCCCTGCCGAACCATGGCCGTTCGAAGGAGCAACGACAGTTAGCTGTCGGCACCTATGGTGGAAGCTCCGAAGGGCCGAGGAACCAGGAGATTGCTCGGTTGCTCTATTTGCACGAGTGCAATCCAGCCGCCCTTAGGGCAGGCCTGATCTCCGCAGTGAGTGACGATCCGTTTTGCATCATGTGGCTGGGAGGGGCATACAGTTTGCGTAAATTCGTAGATGTTTTCCTCCAGCACAAAATCGTGAAGATGATTGTTACTTTCTCAGAAGAGGCACTCTACGTTGATCCACGACTCGGCTATTCTGCTGAGGACTGGACTGAGTGGCTCCGTGGGAAATTCGCGGAACAGGTCGGAATTGCACGCCGTGCATATGAAGAACGCCAACGCAATGCGGAGCGTTCTCGCATCGCACAAGCCAAAGCTGATGCACGCAGAGCAGAGCAACAACGCTACCAGGAGCAGGGATGGGATCGCGGCTACCAGCGAGGATCCCACCCCTATGGCCGCTCCTCCGGTTCCCGAGGATGGTACTAAGTACCTGATCGACATTTCGTGGTTCCGTCACATTAACCGGTACTCCGAAATACAGCCCCTCTTAGAGGTGGCCGAATTTCCTTAAGACCAGAAAAATTTCATGCTTCATTTCCTGGCAGTCACTTTGTGACAAATCCGAACAGCCAGCAGCTCCAGTGGATGATGTATTCGTCCCACGCTGCACACATTCTTGCGACTTGTATCCACGCCATCAATCAAGGCTTGCTGGATCGTCGCCACTTTATAATGCATGTCGCGACTTTAAACTGCGCGCTAAAAGAATTAATCTGCTTCCGTATCTTCCGCTTTACGGTAGTAGAAAGCCTATGAGCCCCGAGCCACAATCCAGCCGCCTTTACGGCAGGCCACACAGCACCAAGCTTCCGTGCATGTTTGCGCCTCAAACTGACGCTTCGGCGAGGGGGGTGTAATTTGTGCACGTGTGAAGTAGCATGTTGTGTGGTGACGTTGTGGCACAAGTGCTCTAACAGGAAAAGTGCGTAGTTGCCTAATGGTATTGCGCTGCTTGTTATCACTTGGACGGGTATATACAACAGTGCGTGTGTGCAGTGGTTTACAACAACTATACCCTTTGCACATGGCTGTGCTTTTGCGCTTTCAAGAGCAGCCATGATTCGGATGTTGCGTGTTTATTTTGCCAGTCAGCTGATTAAGAGTTCCTCACTAAGGCTCCAAAAACGTAGGTTTCCCAAGCTTTGGAATGCTTTTGTGGGCCTTGACATGGGATTCACATTTCTTATTCCATCGCCGTCGTGGTGCGCGTTTGTTCTCGTGATTTTCTTGGTTATGCGGCGTCGTCTCGGGCGATAGCTTTCTTTACATATGCTTGCGCAGTTGAGAAGCAGATGTGCCGGGCCAGGCAGGAAAGGACATGTAACGTAGGAACCTGATTAAGAAACCCTAGGCCTATAACCTCAAAATAGTAGGGCTCATATAAGGAACCCCAATAAGGACCGAGGGTTTCTTAACCAGGTTCCTATGTTACAGTTTGTATAGTTGTGTTTCGCACAACTTCGCATTGTCTCCCCGAAGCCAACCTGTAGACCTTGGCCTTGATGCTTGTCGGTGTGCCTGCCGATCTACGTCCAGTTCACGCACAATTGCCGGAATGGGGTTCACACCTGCAGCTCTCCGCGCAGCTGAAAAGCTGTGGCTGTTTGTGGCTGAAGCAGTACCGTCTCCCAAACTTGGCCTGGTTGCCCGCTGACGTCGCGAACACTTCAGAGCAGTACAACATGGAGCCAGGTTTCGCACGAACGCTGGCGCCCATCATCAATAGCTGCGGCTCAGGAGCCTGTTTCCCCTGCATCCACGCCGCCTCCCCGCCCTGCAATCGCCTCTTCCAACCGTCGCAAGACTTCCAAGGCCTTCTCGGCGGCACTTTCCGTGATGATGGTGACACCGAGACCGGTGACTCCTTCCCTTGCTGGCTAATTAAAGCCTAAACCCTAAACCGCTTCTTCCCCGTCACCAAGCCCACGGCTTTTGAGAACCTTCCGCTCCACAGAGTTTCAGCGAAGCCAGGCTGTAATCCATATGGGAGTTTCCGAAAATCCGAAAATAGGGGTACCTGATATTGGGGGTCCCTATAATAAGGATCCTACTATGTAGGGTACTATATTAGGGTCCCCTATTTTCGGAATCTCCCATATCAGATGTTTGCTACCCTCTTAGCGTGGCACCGACGAAGCCAGCAGCTTCGACCCAACGCCAGAATCATCGCGGCGCACTGCAGAAGCTTGTTATACCTGCATGTTCTGCACTGCAATGGGCAATACATTTTCTGGATCGTTTCGTTGTGCCTTACCTGCTGCAGACCTAGCTGAACCGCGAAAAGGAAGTGAAGTGCCCTGTGCAAGATTACGTGGTTGAAGCTAAAATTTACTGGCGCGACGACGAATTGAGAAAGATAGAAGCGAGGCTTCGTGTAGCAGAAGAGGTTGGCAGAGTCTGCGTTTCTTTTGCGCCATGTGCATGGTTTGCTGCGGGATTTGGAATGCGGGATTGTCTGCGGGAACCAGGCATTGCAATCACTTCGCCGGAGAGCCCAAAGCCCAGGGCCCACAGAGCCAAGCCCAGTATCTGCCCAGTGGTTGTCTCGTCCTTTTGTCCTTTATCTTGGAGGTGGATTCGGATCTTTGGGCGTGCAGCGCATCCTCAACAGGTATGGGAATGATGCGAATGCCAACAGGTTCTTGGTCTGGGAGGCCTTTGTCATCGGTGGTTCAATTGCTTGTGTTTTGGTCGGGGCTCTCGACAGCGTGATCCTGAAGCAGCTGTTCCTGAGTCGAGCTCGGCGGGAGTTCTCTGTTCCTTCTGACGTATAAGAGACTCTAGAGTTCGGCCACGGCTTTGACGGTCGCTCTTAGCAGACTGTCCGGAGAGTTGTGTCAATGTCCCAAGCACTCGTAGCACGCAGGCCAATTGCTGCTTTCGATGCACCTGGCTGAGGGTCGCACGCAGTGCTCTGTATAGAAAGCCTGCGAGCAGATCTTTAAACAGCTTCAGCGCACTAGCAACTGCGGCAAAACGAACTCAACACGTCACCTGGACCTCGAAGCACAAGACAGCATGACGTTCCAACTGAAGTGCTTGCCACTTGCAAACCCGCGAAGCTGTGCCACTTCAGTCAGCTTGAACGAGATGCTAGGCCATGTTCATCTTCGGTTTACCTCAAGCTTGTTCTTGTCGGGGCTGGGGCTCCACATAAGTTTGAGATCGCAGCCAAGCAACTCTCCCGCAGGAAGCACAAGCGCTACTCGCCCTTCCGCTCCACCACTGCCGTGGACGTCAACACCAACGGCAAGCCCGTGAAGGAGAACGAGCGGCTGGTTCGAGGTATCGCGTACAGACTGTCATTGATTATAAATTTCAGATGAATTAATGAACACACCATGATGATTGTCCTTGTGCACGGTGACGGCGACTTTGGCTGGCTTCTCTTCGTACCGGTGGTGTTCGCGTCGCTGCTGTTCAAGATCCGTCCTGTAGATGTAGTGATGATGACTGTTCTCAACAGCACTATGGTGTGGAGGTTTTGTGGATGTGCGAACCATTAGTAACTGTAGATTCGTGGTGTCCAGAGCACAACTTCTTTATTGCCACTGGACTTGTTTCACCTGTCATCGTCGTGCCATGCATCATTCTGGGTCGTAAGCAGCCATGGCAACAGTCTGCTGTGTTGTGGGTTCGTGATGCTTTGCTTTCTCGTCGAAGCATAGTGATGTCGTCGGTGTTCCTCGGGTCATTCCTATTTCAGTGTCATTGTGATGATGATGGCGCGTGACTTTCACAGGTGACGATGGTTTAGGTCCCCTAAACCCTATGGTACTCCAAAGCCCTTATAAAAACCCTTATAGATCATTGTAAGGAGCCCTAAAAAGGATCCAAAGTATATACTCCCAAGCCCAATCCTCACCGGATTTGGGTTCAGTCGTGACAGGTGGTTTTGCAGCGGTCGTCAGGATGTCACCATTCCGTGAACCTGAGATTCTCTTTTGCAGAGATCCCATCTGCTTTGAACCCGCAACCACCTTTGACACTATTCCTGGCAGCTCCGAACAAGCCTACTGATTTTTGGAGCCCAGGGTTTGAAGTAAAGCAGCTGGGCGTTGTTTATCGCAATGCAAAAACCTTGCTTCAGGAACTTTCTCTCCGTGCATCAAACGGCGCCTGTGTTTGTAGGCGACACTTTGATACGGTTGGCCTTACCACACATGCTGCTTCTGCCATGAGTGCTGAATCGTCGACTTCTGTGAAGCAAGCAAACCTTATCGTAGCGATTGACCTATATTTGCGAAAAGGCGAACAATGCACCCTGCATCAGCAACACGTGCTCTTGCCCCCAGACAGTGAAACAGTGCACCGTGTCAGGCAAGACCAAGAGGGACGCGGTAACCGTCGAGTTTACGCAGGCCAGATTCAGGGCTGAAGCGTTTATGGTTGGGGATGGGTTCGGTGTTTGCCGTTCATGGGCTTAGGGTCTTGGAGTTGGGCAGCGGGTTCAGGAAGGGCAGGTGTGGAAGCAAGAGTAGTAGGGGCATGGGCCAAGTCGCAGCAGTCAGAGCAGCCAAGCGGATATGTATTGAAACTACCGGTGATTGCATTGAGGGTACTTGTGGTACTGCGCAGGAGCACCACAGAAACCCAAGCTCAGACTTTCAGCCAAGCCCAGACCCCTAAACCATGAACCATAAACGCTGAACTCCAAAACCCCAAAGACCCTGAGACCCAGAACCGCCCGAAAAGCACCAAAATTCCGAGACCGGGTTTTCTGTGGCCAACATCATCCCTAAGCCCCTCAACCGTACCCTAGTCGTTATAGGTGGGCTTCTAGGAATCTTCATTTTCAGGGAACCCAAGGCCCTGCTAAGATATCTTCCCAGGCCGATCTCGGCGAAGGTGCAGCCCGGGCCGAAGCTTGGCCGAAAGGTTTTACTCAAACAGAAAGGGTCTGTTTTGGGGTTCCTAGGCTTCCTTTAAAGGGGTCGAAAGGGGTTACCATAAGGGGATCTATACGGTAAACCCCATAAAGTTGGAAACCGGATTAAGGAACAAATAGTGCCGGGATTCCCTATACATTACTCTTAAGGATTGAGGCTATTAGGTTTCCAACTTTTCGGCTTCTGCTGTCCACAACGAGGGTCTAGGGTATAGAAGCTTCAGGGTAGGGTTGAAGGTTTAGAGCGTCTTTAAAAGTAGAACCGTCTAAAGTCTAAGGTCTAAGATGTTTTCCAAGAGAGGCTTCGGATGTTGAGGACTTCAAGAGGTCTCAAAGTTGTGAGAGGAGTTTTCAGAAGTGAGGAAGCGACTTTCGGTTTCGGATTTGGGGGCTGTGGCTTTTCTTTTTTTTGGCTGCTCGTTTCGGGCTTCGGGTTTAAACGCTCAGAGCGTGACACGTTTTTGGTGTCCACGCGGACTTAGGCTCAAGGAGGCAACAGGATGTACTTTTCAGCGATGGGGTTGCAATGTACTCTTGGGATTGGGTGTATGCTTCGGATGTGGGCTTCAAGATTGATCCTCCTCGCACTCCTGCAAATCCTACGACGACTACTACTACACCAGCCTCACCAGTGCAGCAGCAGCAGCAGAGCAGAACATGCAAAGTAGAAAGACAGGGACTCATTGAAAGAGGAGGCACACTCCCAGACTCCTTCGGAAGCAACTGACACGCAAACAAACAGGCTGCGAGGGCAAGCCCCCCCCCCCTAAATCCGAAACACATGTAAGCCTTTACAGCCACAGCCCTAGTCACGGCCTCACAGCTTAAGAGTTTTCCAGAGCCTAAGCGCTTCGCTTTGAAGTCCTGAAACCCGAGGACTCTCAAGCCTAAATGCTGAGCAACTCCTGCACCATCTATGCATGTTTGTTCGGTCGCTTGGATGCTTGATTTTTGATAAAACCCAGACCGTAAACCGGCTAGTCACAGCAGGAGAACTCTGTTTGGAGAGTCCTTGTACCTTCATAGATCCCTTGTCGGAACTCTTAGAGGAACCGAATCCCAAACCCACCATCCGGAGGTCCTTGTGCACGACGACGTCTGCCTGGGGACGGAATTCGGTCAGCAGGCGGTGTTTTCCGCAGATTGTGCAGGGTTTGGGGTCACTTTGAGGGTTCCATCATATTCTGTTGGGCTTCGTTTGAGGATGTGTGGTAAGGCAAAATTCGCGTTGGGGCATCCTTGCGTTTTGTGCTTCAGAGTTTCGGGCATGGGGTGTGAAACGGCTTGTAAGAAATGGGTGGTGGCTTTTGTACCCTTTCTTCTGTGCCTCTCAAACGTTGCATTGAGCCCTTATACACCCCGTATAGTCTTAGTAGTTAAGCATGTTCCATGGCATTCGGCGGAGGAAAGGATACTTCTCACACTTACGGCCCTTGCTTCGATGTCCGTGCAGTTAGGGGTTGCTTCACTGTCTCCTCTAAGGGGGCCAGGGAGCAGCTCTTGGGACGTTTTTGGTGTTTCCCTTGGTGAGATTAGGGTTTCGTTTCCTGTTACCTCCTAAGAACATGCTTGCTTGGCTTGTAAGGGGAGTGGGGACTAGGATCATGTACATCTTTCTGGGGCTTTGCTGAGAAGGCTTCGAAATCGAGGGTTCGTCATCAGCACTTCCAGCCACCGAACAGACCAGAAACTAGGACCATGTTTTTCCCAGTGTTTGCACCCTGCACCGGGGCCATAAGCGCTACTACTGTTAGATTCGGATGCTACCGCACTATGTAGGGCTCTACTACAAACATATGGACTCCAACCATTCCACAGTCTCGGCGACACGTCAGATCTGCACGAACCTCGACATCATGGCGGCAGTGGGCCCCACCCTGTTTGCTGTCAAGGTTTGTGTTCGAGGGCTTCGGGTGGCTTTTCTGGGTTGGATTTTGGGACATTTTGTATTTTCCTTATTTGCGTTAATTAGGGACCCTATATATAAACATTTTTCAGGGTGTTGAAAGGCCAACCCAGTTTTGTTTTCACGTGGAGGCTTTGGGGTTAAGGGCCCCAAGCTTAGACCTTAGATTGGCCTGGAGTAGAGTCAGTACGCTTTATCAGTTCTGGTGTATTCTATCGCTCACAACTGCCCAACGTAAACCTTCAGTTACTTGGGTGCCCCTGAAGTGAGTTCCCAACAGTTGAGAGGGGAGGTCCTGCATTAGTGCGAGAGGTGGTGTACTGGAGACTGAGCCAGCGACCAATCTATCCACGGATACGAGGTATAGTGCGTCCAGGTTTAGGCACATCGCATGGTGCTGTTGAGCTGTTATGGCCTTTCTGGTGGCATCGTAGGCGGAATTCACGTAATGCTTTCACATACAATCTAGGCAATGAGAGGCTGTCGCCCTTGCTACGGTGCAATGCAAGTTACTGATACTTCTCGAAACCAGACAGGGGATGAAAAAATGCTACAACTTGCGAGCACCCGGGACTATCAAGGATTCAAGGACCTGTGGAAGTTGGGTCGGGAATTGAATGCAGGAACAACCTTAACAACACCGTAAGATGACAATGATCGCAGGTTTACCCGAGAATAAAGGTGTCATCTTCCAAGTAGTATTCAGGAGATCGACACGGTTTGTGTCACTAAATTCGGGGGTACCCGGGCAGCTTGAGGGCTGTTCAGAAGGATGCAATCGAGATTTCTGATTCACCTAATGCGCGTCACAGAAACCCGAAACCCCCGAAGGACTTTGAGGCTATTGGGCAAGACTACTTGACAGGACCTGGAAAGACATAGCAAAAGCTCCTCTTCAGGAGGGCAGCGGCTTGTGTACCGCATCCGCTGCATCACACCTCGTCCGTTGCTTGTTTGATCCCCACCCTAAATCCCGAAACCCTGAACCGTGAACCCTAAACCCTAAACCGAGCCTTTGAGCCCAATCTACAAATTCGCGAGGCTGTTCTCATGTCTTTCGCTGCGATGCAGCTTATGTCACGTCGCACTTCAACCTTTTGGGCTAATACAGTCCATTCATGGGTGGTTGTCAAAATTGAGGTCCCGTTTTGGGTACCCTAAACAATAGGTGCCATAATAGGGACCCAAGAAGGGACCCTAATTTTGAGAATTACCCATATAGTTCCAAGGTTACGTTTTGCTTCCCCTAGCAGCTGGGGCGGCACACCTCCCATTAACCTGCTACTTGGAGGATCATGGGACTTAGTAAGTAAGGTTATAAGTACCTTAATTGGAGTTATAAGTAATTATCAGAATAGCCACCTTATTCATAACCCTAGCTACTTAGTCCCATGATCCTCTAAGTAGTCGGTGGAGCGCCAGGTGAATATGGACGACGAGCTCTTTGATGCCATGCCGCCAGACTGAAGCCAGTGCTGGCTTGGGTTCCGACAGTATCGCAGGGCAGAGTGGTTCATAAGAGGCCAAAAGGGGTTTTAGCCCATGGGGGTTTAGTAGGGATTAGGGTTCCCATAGTGGGGTTCATATTAAGGAATCCCTACCCCAAGAATCTTGAATCCCCCTTTTGGCCTCCCATCAGTAGTTCCATTGTAGGGTTGTGGGACTTGTTGTCGACTTTTATCTCAGGTCGATGTTCGGCTCTTTGATCTTACCTTTGGTTAGTACGGAATGGAGGAATTGGTTACAATTATAACTACTATTGCTACCATTCTTCCATTCCCTACTAACCAAAGGTAAGTGATGACAGGTTTGCCTGCTTACCTTGCACCGGCTTTAGGTTCTTTGGATGAAGCCTGCCTGCGGTTTGACACCCTCTTTGGGTATGGAAGCCTTTGTCACATCAGCTCTCCCACCCTTAGTATCCGAATCACCAAGCCCCAAGCCGCAAGCCCCCCCAAAATCCTGAATCTTGAGCTTGCGCTTAGCCCGAAGCTAAACTCGACAGCCTCGAACCCCGAAGCCCTGCACCCTAAACCCAATTTTTAAACCCTGAAAAATCTTCGAAAAATAAGCCCTAAACCTAAGAATCCTAAAGCCCTACAAAATCTTCAAACCCCAGATCCCCAAACCCGAATCCTCAGGCCCTACGATGGAATGCTTGGCCTGAGCCTGGCAGGTCGAGTTTTCGGAGTTTTGGGATTTAGGCTTTAGGGTTAGGGTTTTGGGTTGAGGGTTAAGGGTTTAGGGTTGAGGGTTTTGGGTTTTGGTTTAGGGTTTTGAGTTTAGGGTTTAGGGCTTAGGGCTTAGGCCAAGGCCTTACACGGTTTAGGATGAAAAGGCTGAGAAGTTGAGGGTTCAAGGTTTAAAGGAAGGGCTTGGCGAAACGGTGTTTGGTGATTTTGAGGCTTCAGGCTTAGAGTGTAGGATGCAGTGTTTAGATTTAGGGTTTAGGGGTTGGAGGGCTCAGGGTAGAGTTGACAGGATATCAGGAGATTTGACAGTGTATCAATATAGTCATGCTTCTCACATACCTGCCCATGGAATGAAACACGATTTATCGCAAGTTGTTGTGGATGTGATGCTTGATCTGAGTCTGCACCATCTGTTTCTGCGCCGCGTGTCCCTTTGCAATTTTTTGGCAGCTATCTGCAGCCTCTGACCTAGCAACAGCATTCTTCTAATTTGCACTTAATGCTTAAGTCCTAAAAAACGCCCTTGGGCCCAGAAGTTTTCGGCGGCTTTCGTCGGTTGCCTGTACCCACATAAGCCCAACAGAACCTTCAGAGCCTCATGGTTTAGGGCTTTTTTGTAGTGGCAAAGACCTACCTTTCTTTTAGGGCTCCGTATTATGGTTTCTATATATATATATATATATATGTAGTTCCTTAAAAAGGTAGATCTTTTCGGCTTCAGGTCGGCCTTAGGATTTTCAGCCGCAGGCCTTTCAACGGGCACCGGCTGCGTCTTCTTTCAACGGCTCATGGATACTTGGAGTAGTTATATGGTGGTTTAGGAGATTTGGGGGGTTTGGCATTTTTTTGTGGGGCTTTAAGGGTGTAGGCTTTGGGAGTTAACAGTTTAGGGCTTAGGTGTGTTAGGCTAAGTTCAGCTTTTGTGCAGGTTGCAGTTCCTTTGTAGACTGTCAACTAGAGGGGACTCGAATGTAGAAAAAACGGCCCTAACGTTGTCGTGGTCTCCTATAAATAATCTTACTCAACAATAATTTCAAGCGTTATTTCCTAGGACTCCTTATGACCATGAGATCACATACACCGAAACCAAAACACCGTAACACCGTTTGGACTATTGAGGGCCCTATTTTACATTACAATAGCCGGGAGCCCTAGGACGGAGCTGCAAGACTTGAGGGGCTTGGGCTGCGGGTGGGCGGCAGGATTCCAGTAGTAAGCATAAGCCTTAGACGCTACGAAGATGCTACTTACCCGAAATCGTAGAAAGCTCTAGGACCGTAAGCAAATCCTTAAACAGCCCTCAGCGATCTTGGAGAGTGGAACACGGCGAGGGAATTTAGGTTGCTTACGTTTGGTTAGTAGGGAATGGAGGAATGGGTACAATTATAACTACTAACACTGCCATTCTTCCATTCCGTACTAACCAGAGGTGAGGTTCGAGGCTTTTGGCGGGAGGAACATGGATTTGGGCAGGAGCTCCCGGTTCGGGCATTCTGGACGGTAGGTTCTTTGGGCTTCGAGTTCAGAGTGTATAACTGGGTTGTGCTTTGGGATAATTTTCAATTTCCCTTATGTCCTTATAAAGGGAGCCGATTCACCAATAAGAATATTCAAAGGGTTTAAAGCACAACCCAGATAAGGTGTGGAGTTCCTGGCTGGGGGGGTTGTAAATTTCAGGCCGTCTGTGTTTGTGGATCTCCGTTTGGGGCCCACCAGGAGACGAACCCTTCGATGTTGCCGCAGTTCGGGTTGCTCCATGCCTGCAAAAAAAATACTTCGTTGAGAGTCAGGCGAAGTAGTAAGTAAGGTCTAAGCAAGGTAGTAATTAAGATAGTCAGGTAATACTTGTAACACCTACTTATTCAGTTCATCCTCCAAGTGGTAAGCTATCAGGATTTCAGTCTCCAGGGTTCAGGATTGCAGAACCTGCCTTCACCATTGACCTTCCTATGTCGGGTTCAGTTTCCAGCGCGTGGCGTTTGAGTGAGCTCGTGTTCAGGGTTCCGGCGCTTAGGATATATCCATGGTCTAGGGTTAAGGCTTGAGGTTAACGCTTTAGGTTTTACTGCTTGAGGTTTAGAGCTACGAAAGCTTTGACAATCCCAAAGTCATCCACCCCTGGAGCCTGAACACCGAACTTCCAAAGCTTCAAGCACTTGAACCTCGAAGCTCAAAGCCTTCAGCTCATTAAGCCTTCTTTACGCTTGTTCCACGGATTAAAGTTTAATCCTTGATCCTTGAAGCCTAACATAGCAGCCACAAGGTTTAACAAGACCATTACCTGTGAATATGCAGAAATCCGACACGACCTGATCAGAGACCTCCCCGAACATCCTGTTCTGGCCCTTTTCGGGTTCGTCCATCCCCTCTTGCTCTCAGCTTTTCCGCTCGCCTAAGGCAATCAAAAGCACCTGATAACCCGAAAGCCAAAACCCTTGCACCAGAAAACCTTTCAACGCTCTCGTAAAATCCTAGACCAAAAACCCCAAGCCCGTTCACACCCTCAAGCCCGAAGCGCTAAGCCCTAAACGCCCTGACCCTTAAAACCCTATAAAACTCTACACCCTTAAACTCGAAATCCTCAGTCCCGAAGCTTTTGCGACACAAAACGCTAAACCCCCCAAACGACTCAAAGGTCCTTTCTTTACGCTTTGTGAACCCCGAAAACCAAAGAAACACCGAAACCCTAAACTCGAAACTCGTAAAACCCACAGCCTCAGACCCTAAACCCCACAGTCTCATACCCTAAACCCCACAGCTTATACCCTAAACCCCATAGCTTTGAAGGTCCTTTGGGGCGCAGTCCGGTGAGATCTACTTCGGCGGCCATAATTCGGGGCGCCTGGCAGAGGAAGGGCTTGTTTTGTGTGACCTAATAGGGTGCACAGGGGCTTTGCGATCCGAATCCCGGATCCAGATTTGCGGGTCTAGGATTGGGGCTCAGTGGTGGGGTTCAGGGCTTAATGGATTTGTTTGATTTGGGGTTTAGGATGTGGAGCTTGGATTTCAGATTCAGATTGGGGGAGTTGGCTTTTGAAGCCTCATTAGAACGAAGACCGGTTCCCCTAAACCCCAAACCCCTAAACTCAAAGCCCCTGAACCCTCAACCCTAAACCCCTAAACCCTAAACCCCTAAACCCTAAACCCCTAAACCCCTAACCCCTAAACCCTAAACCCTAGGGTTGGCTGCTCGGGCTCCCGACACCCTATACCCCAATGCAGGCCCCTGGCTAATAGAAGTCTTGTCTGGAACGGACTGGATTCAAAGGGGTAAAGGAGGGACCCTTAATGGGGACCCCTACCCTATAATGGTCTATAAAATGGGTATATAATAGCTATATACTAAGGGTATATGCTTAGGGGTCCTTATGAAGGGTCCCTCCTTTTACCCTTGGATGGATACCAAGACACATACTACAACCTCAGAAAAGGCAGGAGCCTATATACGCCCCAAGATTTCTTTTGTCCTTGCAGAACCTGACCGCCTTCAGAAGGGGCTCTAGGGTCTTGGGGTACTCGGGTGTCGGGATTCTTCAAAGGTTTTTTGATGGCTCCTGACACGTTTTTAAGGATTCCTTTACAGTCTCTGCGGCTTTGATTTTGAGGATCGGGTCTTGGAGCATACGGCTATGGATTTCGGGTTAGGGTGGCTGGGGTTCAGAATTTGGTCAAGGGTGACAGGATACATGCAGGTACCGCAGAAACGTGCATTGAAGCAAGATTCCAAGGAAGCAATTAGTAGCGGAATCGATGTCTAGCTAGATGCACGACATCCGAGCAGCAGCAGCAGCAGCAGCAGCAGCAGCAGAGAGCTAAAGCAATATTGATATGGGACCCAGCTCTAGGTTGGTGATTTTGTGGCGGTTGTACGACAGCAACAGTACATAGTACATGTGCACAAACAATAAAGCCGTGTGGTACGGCTTCCAAGGCCAAGGCGAAGCACAAGAAGGCCATGAAGAGGCCCACAGCAGAAAAAAAAAAACACCAGCGAAAAACGATTCAAGTCTGTAGTCTGGATCTTTCCAAGAACCCCCTTAGCTCAAGATCAAATCGACGCCACAGGACCTGAAATGGTTCCCGGTGCTGCACCCCGAGGCTTCTTGTTGGGGAATTCGATGGATTAGGACCGCTCTTTTCCCTCTACGGCATAGTCTGAATCAAAGACCTTGACGGGGACCATCTCGAGAGCAGTGCCTAGTTCCTCTTTGTCGGTTTGGGATTTGGACTTCAGGTATGGTTCGAGGTAAATTTTCCTCCATTTTTAGATCCGTAGAGAGAGCCAGAGGGATTGAGAAAGAAGGACATCTGCACCAATTGAACCTGCATGCGCTTGCGCATGCGCCTGCAAAACTAGAGACAATCCGAGCCAGTAAGGGACTCTGGAATCTGAGTAGGGCCGAATTATCTACACTATGTTGTGGGTTCCTTAACATGAGTACAGAATCATGGGCCTACAACCCAGGAGTTTTGAAATCCGAGTAGGGCTCTGCTCGATGAGGACGGCTTCTGGGAGGTCGCGATCCAAAGCGTCCGCCTGGGAAACGCGACCCGGCCAAGTCAGAGTTTCAGACAGCATCGGAGGTTTTTAAGCTGCGATTTGGGTTCCGGATGCGGGGCTTTAGGGCTAGCATCTACAAATCTCAGAGAAACGGGCCGAAGAAGTTGAAAGCGAGTTCGAAACAGGGACTGCGAAAGTTGAGAAAGTTGCCAAAAGGGCAAAAGATGCCAAAAAAAGTGAAGCAGAGGACCAGACTGTTGAAACGTATTTTGGCAACTGGCCAGAGAAGTTTAGACCCAAGCCAGATAGAAGGACCTTATAGTAGAAGCAAGAAAGTTGGAACATCCTTATCCTCATGCCCTTGAGGGTAGGTATAAGGCATCCCAGCACTAATCCTCCTAAAGCCATGGTTCCAACTTTCTGGCTTCTACTATAGAAACCTCGAGACTCTACTATAGAAGCCTCAATAATTACCAAAATTATTGTTCCTTAGGCTTCCCTATTTAGTTATACTCTAAGGTACCCCAAAACCCTATGCCTGTTCTAATTATTGAGGCCCCTAAACTATACCCTCAAAAGGGCTCTATACCCATATACTATGAAACCCTATGCCTGTTCTAATTATTGAGGCCCCTAAACTATACCCTTAAACGGGCTCATATACTATGAAACCCTATGCCTGTTCTAGTTATTGAGGCCCCTATAGTAAAGGCCCGAATCCCGGAGGTGACGGTGGACTCCTGCAAGGAGGGCTGTCGAGGAATCATCGATACGGGCTCCTCCAGGCTCCTCGCATGTTGGGAAAAAATCGAGGATTTTTCGAAAATTAGATAAGGGGTACCTTTAGAGGGATCTTTGAGGGTTTTTTAAGGGATGCTATAAGGGACTTTTAGGGTTTAGGGTTTGGGAGTATGCGAAAATTAGGGGTACCTTTATTTTGGTGTTCTTATGGTAAGGATCCAACTATTAGGGTATTATATACTATATTAGGGTCCCCCATTTTCGGAAACTCCCAAATGGGAGCATCAGAAACAAGGGCTTAACCTGTGTGAGCCCGACATAGCAGGAGCCGGTATAAGTACGACCGAAGAGGCACCCCGCGAGGTTCTTTACACTTGCCTTGCGATTCTCCAGATATACTACCCTAGTAATTGGTAGAGTAGGTAGCCTTTCACCTTTTTTGGGTATTATAGTCCCTATATAATCCCTGTATAACCAAAAGGGTTAACCTTGAGTTCCCCATGATACTCGACAAGTGGGTGGTTGTCAAAATTATGGTCACTTTTTGGGTCCCTATTATAGTACGGCACCTATTATTTAGGGCACCCAAAACGGGGGCACCACCCAAGTAGGCTACTGACCCAATCGGGCTCATCTACAGGGGAGTTGCCTTAGTGCCTTACGTCGCTGGACTTTCGATGTTTAGAGCTCCGGTGTCACCGGCTTAGGGTTTTAGGGTTTAGGGTTTAGAGTTTAGGGTTTAGGGTTAACCAGCCCCTGAAGCTTAGAGGATCATGGGACTTAGTAACTAGGGCTATAATTAAAGTAACTATACATATAAGCACTTATAACCCCATTCAAGACTTGAGCTCTGGGGTGGTCATTCGGATTTTATGCGTGTAGGGATTAGGTATTAGGTGCAGTATATGAGGTAAATGGCTGGGGTGTTCGGCAATAGACAGCCTCCCACACCCAAGAAAACACCCGAACTCCGACCCGAACGCCCCAAAGATCCTGCTGCCACACCCAATAAAAGCCTGTCAAAAAGCCATAGCAAGTCTTCGACCACGGGAATTGTTCAATCGTCTCGGAGAAAACCCACAAGCTCTGCGATGAGGCTCTTGGTTGCTTTATGGATGTGTTGCTTGTTCGAGGTGTTATGGTTACTTATATAAGTATCTTCAAGACAATGCTGTCTGCTCATATTAGGGGAACTGGAAACCCGTGATCCCCATCCTTCTCCAAGGCTTGGTGTTCAGCAGAACAACTTCGAGGCACGGCTAAGGGCTTCAGGGGCTTCCGGATGGGTTTAGGCTTACGGGTTTCTTGTTTCAGTTTAGGGTCACATTGTTTTAGGGCTGTGGAGATGATAGATGATGAGCACGCGAGGAAAGCTGCGTGCATGCTTTCAGGCTTTTAGGTGTAGTCCTCACCACATGACATCCGACAAGTGTCTGTGGACACAGGAAACGAACTAGGTTTTGACCCACTTGCCGTGCGACGCCCACCTGCTTTCCGGGCTGTTTGCGTCAGATTGTTTGCCCTGAAACCTTAAAATAGCAATACCTCCTTGGCCCCCTGAAATAACGGTACCTCCTCAGCCCTAGAACCCTAAAAACAACAATACCTCCTTGGCCCTGAAGCCCTACAATACCAATAGCTCCTTAGCCCTTACTCCCTAAATCAACAATGCATGCTTAGCTCTGATACCTTAAAATGACAATACTTCCTTAGAATAACAATACCTCCTTAGCCCTTAAAACCTCAAGTAACGATACCTCCTTAGCTCTTAAACCCTACGTTGACACTACCTCCTTAGCCCTTAAGCCCTACAATAACAATACCTCCTTACAGCTCTCCAACCCTAACATAACAATACCTCCTTAGCCCGAATAAAACAATACCCCCATAGACCTTAACTTTAAAATGACGATACCTCCTTACAGCCCGTAAACCCTAACTTAATAATACCTCCTGAGCCTCAAAACCCCGAAATTACAATATCTCCGCTGAGCCCTAACATAACAATACCTCATTAGCCCTTACACCCTAAACCAACAGCACCTCCGTAGCCCTTCGTCCCGCAAATGACAATACCCTTGGCCCTTAAACCCAAAAATGACAATACCTTAGCCCGTGACCTAAAATATCAGCACCTCCTCAGCTCTTAACTCTGAAAATAAAACAGATTTTTGTTAAAGCCTAGAGTAACAATATCTGAGCCCTTAAACCCTAAAACAACAACACCTTCTTAGCTTTTACACCCGAACACAACAATACTTCCTTAGTCCTAAAGCCCTAAAATAACAGCACCTCTGCCTTTGAACCTCAAAATAACAATACCTCCTTCGCCCTTAAACCCTAAAACAACACTACCTCCTCAGCCCTTGAATCCAAACAACAATACCTCCTTAGCCCTGAACAAAAAACAGCAATACCTCGTTAGCCCTTAAACCCTACAGCAACAATACCTCCTTTTCCCTTAGACCCTAAAATAACAATACCTCCTTAGCTCTTAAACCTTAAAATAACAATACCTCCTTAGCCCTTGAACCCTAAAACAACAATGCCCCCTTGGTCCTTAAAGCCTTAAAAACATTCCCTCCTTAACCCTTAAACCCCCTGAAGCGTTAAAATAACAATACCTCCCTTAGCCCTTACCCTAAAACAACAATGTCTCCTTGGCCTTAAACTCTAAAACAACAACACCTCCTTAGCCCTTAAACCCTAATAGTAATACCTCCTTAGCCCTTAAACCATAAAATAACAATACCTCCTTAGCTTGTAAACCCTAACATGACACTACCTCCTAAGCCCTTTTTAAGCCCTTTAATAACAACACCTCCTTCGCCCTTTAACCCTAAAATAACAGCACCTCCTTAGCAACTCAACCCTAAAATAGAAATACCTTCTTAGCCCTTGAACCTCCTTAGCCCTTACACCGTGAAATGGTACTACTTCCTTAGCCCCTAAGCCCTAAAATAGCAATACCTCCTTCACCCTTACACGCAAGAATAACAAACAACCTCCTTAGCCCTTAAACCATGACATGGTCATACCTGCTTAGCTCTTAAACCCTAAAGTAACAATACCCCCTTATCCCCTGAACCCTAAAACATCAATGCCTCTTTGGCCCTTAAACCTTAAAATAACAACACATCCCCAGCCTTTAAACCCTAGAATAACAATACCTCCTTAGCCCTTACACCCTAGAATTGTAATACCTCTAGCCCTTAAACCTTACAATAACAACACCCCCTTAGCCCTTACCCTGAAGTAACGACACCTCCTTAGCCCTTAAAACCTTAAAGTAGAAATGCCTCCTTAGCCCTTAAGCCATGAAATAACAACACCTCCTGAGGCCTTCAACTCGAAAATAGCAACACCTCCTTGGCCCTTAAACCTTAAAATAATAATACTTCCTTGGCCCTTAAACCCTATAATAGAAATACTTGCTTAACCCTTAAACCCTAACAATACCTCCTTGGCCCTTAAATCCTGAAATAACAATACGTCCCTAGCTTGTAAGCCCTAAGATGAGAATACCTCCTTACAGCCCTAATCCCCTGTGCAAATGGACTGGAAAGGCTCTCCGGGCTGCTCTGTCCCATGCCGTGCCTTTGGTCGGCGGAGGCTGCCAAGGCGGCTAGCATTTAGTTCTTTAGGGCTTTGGGTCTTTGAGGGTTTAGGGCTTAGGGGTTCAGTGGGTTAGGATTATTTAGGCTTTTTGGGTTTAGGTGCTTAGGGTTTGGGGTTGCGGGCATAGTAGGCTTTACATTTTCTGGGGTGGGTTCTGAGCTTCGGGCTAGAAGGTTGAGGTGTTCAGGCTTGGGTGTGCGGATTGAGCACTGTAGGGCTGAAGGCTCTCATCGAGTCTACAGCCGGTCAGAACAGTACCAGCCAGGTTGAGGAACAACACATGGGTGGTTGTCAAAATTATGGTCCCTTTTTGGGTCCCTCCTAATATTTAGGGTATCCAAAAAGGGACCCTAATTTTGACAACCACCCACATAAACCCTGACAGTCACTAGACTTCTCCTCTATGCTTGCCACGCACCTGGGTTTACTGTAGCCGCAGCCTCACATATTGAGCTCCAGTTGCTACTTGCTTCTGCCCTCCCAGCTTCAGAACGTATATAAACAGACCGCTACCTGTTCCATCCTGTTCCCCCAATCCCTGCACTCACTCAAGACTCTACAAGACCTAGAGGCCTGCTTGGTTGAGTGATTGGGTACACCGGACATTTTGCGGTTAGGCTTTGCACAGAACTAGAGCCCTTAAGCTGAAATCCTCAACCACGAACCTCCACAAGACATGAAACCCGCAAATTGTGATTTGGGTACGGCCCCCACTCAGTAATAGTTGGATAATAATAGATTAGATAAATTGGGACCTCAATACTAGCCCTATTATAGACTCTTACTGTGTGGGGGCAGTACCTAATATGAAGTCCAACTCTTCAACGCCCAAGAGTTTCCAAATCCCAAAGGCTCCGAGTTGGAGTTCGACCTTGGGGAAATGTCGCTGAAGCAGCCTGCTGCAGGGATTGGGGCTTCAGGGTTTGAGGGTGCGAGGCTTGTGGTTCAGTGCTCGGCTTCGAAGCGTAGAATCCTGAATTCAAGAGCATTTAGGATTGCAGAGTTTCTAGTACTTGGGACAAACTTTGATGAAGGGAGATGCTGCGGTATCTTGCAAATGCTTATCCCCAAAGGCTTGAGCCTCAAACCCTGAACCTGAAACCTTAAACTTCAAATCCTAAACCTTAAACTCGAAACCCTGGCTTCGAACCTAAAACCTTAAATCTTAAATCTTAACTCCCAAAACCTACACGCCTATCAGAGGGAGCCTCCGCCAAGGCTCCGCGTGGAAGACTACGTCACCGGCTCGGATTGTGCGCCTCAGCTCGGCTCCCTGGAGCTGGATGCCAAGGAGAGCTCGAAGAAACTCGAGGGGCTTAGAGTTTAAGGGTTTGGGGTTGAGGGCTTATGGTCTGGATTTCAGGGTTTAGGCTTCTGTGCTTAGGTTCTTATAAGGCGTTAAAGCGGTCTGTTCACGTCTCTATCTCTACGAGGGTGGAGAGTTACCATATTAAAGAATTACCATGGTTCATATGAGGAAATCATAATGCGAAGCCTTGCCAAACCGCATTTGTTTTATGTTTCCGCATGGTGAGGCGCAGATCACCATGTTAATAACGGAATTCAACATTCGGATGTGGGGCTCTCAGACTTTATGTCAACATGTTGTGGGGTTCAACGTTTAGGGTTTTCATGTTCGAAAACCTACCACATGCTCTCCAAACCTCTGCTTAAGGCATGCATCCGGGTTGCTAGGGATTGAGGTGGATTATTGCGGTTCCTGTGATCCAAGAGGGGGTGGGTATCGTCAATATTGCCCATCCAGGTCCTGACATAACCATACTAGAATCTGCCCAAGCGTTTGGGTTTGTTTCGGAAGTCCGGTTTAAGGGCATTGAGGTGTGAGCTGACCATAGGTCTACTTGGGGGTTCTAAGTTCTAAGTATTCTGGAAGATGTACTTGGAGGATCATGGGACTTAGCAAGCATGGTTATAAGGAACTTGACTTGGTTTTATAAGTAATTATAAGTATAGTTTCCTTAATTTATAACCTTAGTTACTAAGTCCCATGATCCTCTACGTAATCTTGCTGCACAGCCATCCCGAAGCTCCCAGGCGTACTTGTTGGGCTTAGGAATACAAGGGCAGGAGGTTCCGGTTTCGGGGGGCTTCGGAATACAAGGGAAGGAGGCTCCGGTTTGGGGTTTAGGGTTTATAGGGTTTAGGGTTTTAGGGTTTAGGGTTTAGGGTTCATGAGAAGGAGCTCTGAGGTTAGAGCACAAAAGAGAACCGGAGCCAAGGCTTCAGGCAATGTAGGCGCCGGAAGAACTCGCAGGACGTTTCCTGAAGCTTGCCAAACTTACTAGCCGAGAATCTTAAAGCCCTAGACGAATTATTGAAGCTTCGACACAAGCGTTCTGAATCCCTCCCTCTTGCGACTTTCACAGCCTCAAACCTTCGAGATCCTGACCTCCTTCTGGAGTGGCCTTATCCAGCATAAACGAGGCTACTGAGGCTACAGTACCGTGCCGTCTTTAGCCGATATCTTAAGCCTTTAACCCTCCAGCTTCAGCCCTCATCCCTAGTCCTCCGCACTCTGCGAAGCTCGGCCCACCAAGTTCCGAAGCCTGAAGAGCTGCAGAGCCAGATCTTTGAGTAAAGATAATGACCACAAACACCTCAGACCCCAGCACCGTCAAACCTACAAGCCGTACCTTCCGGCCTCAGATTCCGGACGGTATTACTTCGAGGTAGATTGCTAATATATAAGTATACATATCTATGTAAATATATGTGTGTGTGTATATATATAAGTGTGTGTATATAGTGCGACGGGCGCCCTGCCACCGAGCGTGTGGTAACGACGGCATTCCTGCTGACTTGCTTCACCTGCATACAGCATCTTTGTCCCGGGTAGTCTTCCAAATAGCTTTCAAGGCTAGCTTCCGGCTCGAAGAACCTCTGCATTGGAAGGGAGGTACTCTCCACGCCATATGGAAGCAGAAGGGTTGCCAAACTAGCTGTGATAGCTACAGGGCTATTTTAGTTAGCTCAGCGGTTGGAAAAACCTTCCACGGGGCGCTACGCTCCAAGTGCTCCTCCTTCCTTGACTCCGCCACGACCCCGCTTCAAATTGGCGGCAGGCAGGGCCAGCCAGTCGTTGTTGCAGCCCAGGCTGTGAGAGCCTTCCAGACAGCAGCACGTGCTGCAAAAAAGTGTTTTGCTGTGCTTTTCTTAGACCTTCGCGAAGCATTCCACCGTGTTGTGAGACCTCTCATACACGGAGGCGATCTCAGCGACATGCACATTGCCAGTGTTGTCAAGGAGCTTGGACTCCACCCTTCGTCTGTTGATCGCCTCCATGCCTTCGTCACTGCGCGATCTCTGCTACAACAGGCCGGTTCCTCGGACTGGACAGCCAGCATCCTCAGGGAGACCAGTGCTGACAGCTGGTTCTCCTTCGGTAGCTCACCCAAAATAGCTGCAGTACACAGTGGCACACGCCCTGGCGATAATTTGGCGGATCTTCTCTTCACCTTTTTATTTGCTGAGGTTTCCAAGGTCATCAGGGATAAACTCAGACAGGCTGGTTTGAGAGTTGATCTTCCTTGGAACCCTGATTGGTTTCTACGAGGATTTGATGATACCAGCCACAGCACTGAGACGATCTCGCCTCTTGACGTCACTTGGATGGACGACCTCGCCGTGTTGCTTTGGGCCGACGGCCCTGACCGTCTGATCCACGCCCTTCGCACTGCAGCCACAGTCACCATTGACTCCTGCATTCAGGCTCTCCTCCTTCCGAATCTTCGAGCTGGGAAGACAGAGGCTATAGCCCATCTTGTTGGTGCTGGCTCCAAACGAGTCCGTCTTGCAGTTTTCAATTGCAAAGAACCCACGCTCGACCTGTCAGAGTCGATCTGGCCTGGGGCCAGACTGCGTCTTGTTTCCTCTTATCGACATCTCGGGGGCATCCTGCATGTCACAGGCAGCCTTGCCTATGAGATCAGGGCACGCACTGGTGCTGCCTGGCATGCTTTCAGAAAGCACAAAAGACAAGTCTTTGGATCGCCAACTGTTGGGGCTCGAGACAAAGCGGTGTTGTTTGGGTCCCTAGTTGAATCGACCCTCTTCTTCGGAATCGGGGCATGGCCACGGGTTACTTCCTGTGATACCCAAAAGATTCAGTCCACTTTAGTTGCAATGGCACGGAACATGCTCCGTCCGCGGTACTCTCTTGACCAGGCTTGCCACCTTAGTGCCCTCTTTGTCCTCTCGACTGCCAGGGTCCTGAGTGCTGACTCAGCATTCCATGTCGAGCGATTGCGCTACTTCGGGTTAGTAGCTGTAAGGGCTAGTCCTGACCTCTGGGCCATTCTCAGGTTTGAGAAACACTGGATCCTCCATGTCCAGGAGTCACTAGAGTGGTTACGGGACAAGCTTGACCTCCGAGCTGCCCCTGCTCTCGAGATCGCTGATTGGGACGCTGCCGTCGCCTTCATCCGCTTGAGGCCACCAAGCTGGAAACGTCTCGTTACCAATGGCCGGCGGACTGCGCTGCTTCTTGAAGCCTGGGAAGCTGAGGTCCAACAGTACCATGGCATGACCTACAGGGCCCTTGTTGAACATGGCGCTGTTGTCCCGTCTGACTTACGCAGCGACACCAACAGCACAGAGGTATGTGGGCTTTGTAGCTGTGTTTTTCCTGGGTTGCGGGAGTGGTCACACCATGCTTTCAAGCGACATGGTCGCTGCAAGCCCACTCGTTCTCTAGTCACTGGGTCTCAATGTCCCGTCTGTCTCAAGAATTACGCTTGCAATGCCAGACTTTGCCAGCACCTTGACTACACGACATCTTGTCGATGGGCTCTGCGCAACTCTGGGGTCTATCATGACCCAGAACCCGGTACTGGCAGCCGCAAGTTTGACAATGGGCGGAGCCAGCTTCAACCATCTGCGCAGGCCTATGGCCCTGGCCGTGTCTGGAACTTCTCTGTCGGTAAGGAAGAGTGGGAAGAGCCCTCCAAGGAGGTTCTAGATCGGCTTGAGGACCTCTTTATCGAAGGTGAACTTGCCACTGCTGACCTTCCTGACCTTGTTAGGAAGTACAAGGCTTGCTACTGTGTTTGTTGCCTTCAGCAGTCCCGGCTTCGTGCCACTGCCGAGAAGTGGCAATGCGAGTTGAGTGATCTCCTTGCTGCCGATGAGGATGTGAGTGTCCAATGGTCGTCTTGGCACTCCTCTGTCGCCCGCTTTGTCACTGCCGTTGATTTTGCGCAGTGGCTTTGCGACGACATTTCTGTGCCTCAAGCTTCAACCGCCACCTTCCAGCAGGCTGCGTTGAAGCTTCCGTGGCTCGACTTCCAAGACTTTTGTCTCCCGTCTGCTTGCACTTTTGATGCGTGTGGGATCGGCATCTTCCCTGATACCCCTGTCCGGGCAGCTGGGCTTTTTGCCCGAGTCCTGCGGCACACCGCATGCTTTCAAGACGGAGACCTTCTGCGATTTGGTCGAAGGATTGAGGAATTTCGTCGGGGAATCACTGTGCTTTCCTGCCAGGGCCTCCTGAATTCCCTATCCACGCCGCGGCCACTTCGCCACTATGGCGACATTGCTGGGCCTTTGCAACAGTTGAGATTGTTCTCAGACCTTGTCCGAGGGACCATTTTCCTCTGGGGTCAGGGACTGCCTGCTGCTCTGCTCTTGCCTCGGATTGTCTGTCCTGCTGTTGATGCTGTTGTGCGATCCTCGCCCTTCCGCTACCACAGTGGTGAACTCACTCTCACTTCCAATGTCGCCATCCCTGACGACCTTTTTGCCTGTCTCACCTCTTAAATTAGTGCACGTCACGGCTGCGTTCGACTAGAACTCATTGCCCAGAAAGCGAGAAAAAAGCGAGAAAAGCGAGTGTGTATATAGTATATATATATATATATATATATATGTAACCTGCTGTGAACATCACTGGCCGCTGAAGCCCATCGAAAGTATCAACGTCACGAAAGGAGTTCCACGGCGTCTACGCCTTTGGTGAAACGGTTCTCCGCAGGCTTGGCAGTAGGGAGTTTAGAGGTAGGGCTCCAGGGATTTAGGGTCCCTAAACCCTAAACCCAAAAAACCCCAAATTTGGGGTTTGAGAAGTCAGGGGTCTAGTCCGTCGGTTTTGGATTTTGGGCTTGGTTTGTAGCTCAACGCAGCTCCAGGGTGTAGCTTCCGTCCCTTCAATCCATATCCGCCGCCCTGCATGGTTCTGTTGCCACATGCTGTGGTGAATTGACGTACCTTCGGTTAGTAGGGAATGGAAGAATGCTAGTAATAGTAGTTATAATTGTACCCCATTCCTCCATTCCCTACTAACCAAAGGTAAGTCGAGGGTTTAACGGTGGATTGATGGCGCCCGTTCAGTGTCAACGTTGGATGTTTTGTGAGCCCCTGCATCGAGGTACTACGCCGCGTTCGACTGGCAGGACAAGCGCATTGGAATCTTTGCTTGCATGGCACAAACATTTCGATGAGATGGCAACCCTAAACCCTAAAGCCTAAACCCGAACCCAGGTTGTCCTCAACCCCAGACTCCTAGACCGCAAAGCCTAAGCGGGATTGAGAGAGAGTCTTCCTCAGGTCAATGCGGTCCTCTACGACTCTACGTGTAAGGCTCCTGTAAAGGATGGGGGATAGAGGCAGGCTCCACAGAGGAGGTCTTCGGATGAAAGATCAAAAAGCTACCTTCCTCGGCTTTTGGAAGTTTAAGGCTTCTGGGGTTTGAATACAGCTTTGTAACATCAAAAAGAGAAGTGATGGGTGAGTCCCCAAGTCTACCTAGAATCCCCAGCCCGAAACCCGGAAAGATGATTCTTTCTTTGGAAAGCCACGATACATCAAAGAAGCCTCTTTAGGGCTTTGAGGGCATGGAGCTCAGGGCTCAGCGTTTGGGATTTGGATCTTCGCATTTAGGGCTTCAACGTTTCTCTTCACCCCTTTTCAACTGGTAAAAGGAGGGACCCCTAATACGGACCCCCAGGTATATACCCATAAAGTAGCCACTATATACCCATTATATAGCCCATTATAGGGTAGGGGTCCCCATTAAGGGTCCCTCCTTTTCCCCTTTGACCTTTGGTATACTGAGGTTTCGCACCAGTGGCTCAGCGCCGTGTGCAGCTGGGCAAAGCTGGCGCTGTGCCTGTCTTCACGGTTTAGGCAGCCTGAGGGAGAGGAGGCTCGTGAGGGCGACCATACAGCAGACTGAGTTTCAAGCGCAGTCTCTTGAGTGCTCTCTATTCAAAGACAAAGTATAGGGCACGGCAGCTCAGGGTATGCACAGCTTGCCTTCCTGCATAGAATTAGGATGGACAGCGGCAGGCCATGCAGTAGCTAGGTGTATGTGCAGCTTGGCCCAATCATCACATCACCGAAACGCGTGTAGTAGAACCTAGGCTGAATACGATACAGTTCTCACCTTGTTTGCGTTGCAGCTTCTACAGGCTTTCCCAGACTCATGGTCACTCTACCAAGAGTACGGGGGCCGAACATCTATGACAGGCCCCTTACCCCAACTGAAGTTTGTAGCCGTCAGAGCCCTCCCTCTCCAGCCTTTCCTTTGCGCTGGGCTTTTCTGTCGGATCCCCTGGACACAAGCCTTTGCTTACCTTTGGTTAGTAGGGAATGGAGGAATGGGGTACAATCATAACTACCAGTACTACCATAACTACTATAACTATTGTAGTTACCATAACTATAAAAACTATGAGAAGTACTATTACAACCATTCTTCCATTCCCTACTTACCAAAGGTAAGTTTGGGAGGTCCTCAGGGACGAAGTTCGACCGTAAGGGGCCCACAAGCACTGCAGAAGAAGAGCTTCGATTCCTCTGCAGCATGCTTGCGTGCCCCAGAACTTAGCTACAGGCGCAGGCGGAAAAAGCGAGCTTGCAATCTCCACGCTGATAGCACAAAACCCCTGGGCTTCGGGTTCCAGGCATCTCGAGGTTGTTCGAGAGTCAGCTACTTGTGTTGCAAAGGCCTTACAGCAAAGACCAAACAATAAGATATACAAAACCCAACTTTTGCATAATGAAGTGCATCGGATTGTGAGCGGAGACCACAAGTGCCGAAGCTCTGCACAAGGGCCCACAAATCGCTCGTTCCCTCGCTTCCCGCAGTCCCACCGACGATTTCCTGGATTGCTTTAGGCATTCTTCGATACCACGAGTAACTGCAAGGATACCTCGACTGCCAAAGCCTTTGAAGCCGAATGTGTATCAATCGAGCCTGGTCAAAGAGAAAAGATTAAACAATAAGTCCAAAACCCCAACGCCCTAAAGCCTAGAACGCCAAACCCTTGGGCTCTTAGCATTAAGCCCTTGAAACCCACAGGCCAAACAGCAAAACCCCAAAGCCGCACACTGGCACTGAGCCCTGAAGCTGGGTTTAGGGTGTAGGGTGTAATCCCCAAGTCCAAGACATTGAAATCCTGAAGCCCCGCAAGGCTTTGACCCCTGAACCCTTGACTCTTGTTCTTGAACCAAGGTAAAGCTGGGCGGAAGCCTACGAAACCTTTCATGCCCTGAAGCCTTGAAGCCTTCAACCCCAAAACACTGACCTTTTGCAGCCCTGAACCCAAAGCGGACAGTTCAGTTGCTGCAAGAGCATCGCAACAAATTAGTATTGTAATTTCTGCTACTGCTGTTTATCTTCTGTTGCTATTATCGTTGTTCTCATTTTTAGTCGTCGTCATAGGCGCAGCAGCAGCAGCAGTAGTAGCCGTAGCAGGCATAGGAGTAGTAGTAGTAGTAGTAGTAGTCGTCGTCGTCGTCGTCGGGGCGGTGGTGGTGGGGTGGTAGTATCACATTTGTAGCTACTCTTATTTTCAGCATTCAAGAATTGTAATCTGGATGGCTGGTCATAGCACAATTATGTGAGAGTGTAGCCCCTTGGCTCTCGAGCGGGGTTTTAGATGCCCCTTCTGTTTGGAATCTTCCCATGATGGCAATGCTTCTTGCGTGCAGCAGTAGCCTGAAATGCCTGCCTCTTGCACAACCCCGATGCCCAAACCCTAAACCCCTAATCCCGAAACCCTAAACCCTAAACCCCTAAACCCTAATGCCTAAACCCTAAACCGCCCTAAGCCTCAACCCCCAAACCCAGAACGGCGCAGGATGCGGAAGACTCGGACATGGGCAGCACAACGAGCCTTGGCCGGCCAACACCGATTCATCGAAGGGGGTGTTTGGGCTTGCATTTTACAGAGGCTCTGAAAAGGGCTCTTTGGGGTTCGGAGTGTTTGTCGTGGTAAACAACTGTAGTACGCATGTGAGTCACAGGCGTGAGGGCTTGGGGTTGAGGGGCTAAGTTGTCACGGGGACAATAGACTTGCATGGGCACCCCTTTTTCCTGCAGCGTCCTTACAATAAGGATCCTCAACGGGATCCCTCATGGTTCATGGTATCGTGAACAGCAGAGAGTGTACGAAAAGCTCCCTCATCCGCATGGGCGTCGGAGTCACAGTTGTTGTGGTCATGCTGGAAAAGAAATCAGCAACCTAGCCCCAATAAGCCTCACTCAGAAGCAGCTCAGCAACCTTGCAATAGTTCCCCAACACTTAACGTTTAAGCTGTCTGGCTTCCTCTAACTTGGCTCGGCTCTCCCGGGGGTCATTGGAAGAGATGAAGGAATGACACGCATGTTTACCCGAAAGTGCCTCAGCTTTTCTGTCTCAAGGTGCATGCCCACTCAGCCTTTGCAGGTAGGGGTCCTTGGAGGTTCGGTAGGAGGTGGTGTCGCGACTTTGCTCCTCAGGGCGCTTCACGAGGCATCCTCTTCTTCACTGCCCTCATCTTTGCCAGCACCTTTTGATTGTATTTGTCCATCGGATATCGCATCCGATAGTTTAGATTTGCATTCGGTTCTTGTAGGTATAGGCATTGGGTTTCTGTTGTGGCCGCTGCTAGACGCACTTGCGTTGCTAAAAGCGGCTCTGTCAGCTTGGATCCGGCACAGAGTGCGCCGGTTGCTGGGGCCCATTGCTGAGCCCTATTATCGGTTGCTCTGAAATCTTGCATGAGCCTTGAGAGCCAAGTGGCGCAGCTCAGGTTTGAAGTTGAAGAGTTGCGTGCAGTAGTTGAGGTGCAAGGTCGTTTGCTTAGGCGTCTATTGTCCGCAGCAGACAGCCAGAGTGAGTTCGAGCTTGTTCCTGAAGTACCCCTTGCTGGGCCCTCGGGCCGTCCGGCTGTCCCGGTAACGCCGGAGAGAGTCGCAAGCGTTCCGGAGCATCACTCGCCAGGTGTACCGGGCGACACTTCGGCCGAATCTCAGCAGTCTGCCCTCTCCCACGCGGCCCGGGAGGACATAGCCAAAGAGGTAGGCCGTTTCTTGCGAAGGGCTCTGAATCGCGAATTTCTGGGGACTTCGGGCAGGGATAAGAATCCTCTCCGAAATCGGGTTTATATCATTTGCCGTGATTACACAGGGATTGATATTTCTCCGCCTCTCGTAGTGGAGAGGTTTTCTGAGGTATCGTCGCGGTGCAAACGCGGCAGTGATTGTGGTAGTTCAGTTTTCGTGGGCTTACCAACTCGCTGGGAAGCCAGAGCCGCTCTTGTTGAGGCCGGGCTGCCAACCACTAACGTCTGATGGCTGAAGCCATTCTGCCTGAAGAGGACGGTCTTGCTGAGGACCAAGCTGAACAGGAGGAGGACGAATTCGAAGGCGAGCCGCTTGGGCTTGCCGACGCTTTAGTTTTCGCTCACGGTGGAGCTGTTGAGCCTGGGTACGAAGTAGGCCGTTTGAAACTCGCTTCAGGGTTAACTTTTGAGATACTGGGTTTGTCTTCGGA